CTAGGTTAACAACCTATGAGTTAAAAGCCAACGAACATTGGCGAATAAAGGGGAACAACGGGTACCAACCGCTTGATACCTCTACTACTCAGTTACTTGGCGACTAGGTAACAATCATGTTTACTTGGTCAAACCACTTTCCTACTTGGTTAATTTTACAAATGACAGGACCGCCTGCCTAAAGGGGATCTAGTCTTTAAAATGGTTCGAATACCGATTGGATAAATGGCCGACTGATCGTCTAGCCTGGAAACAGACAACCAGTCGTCCAGGGGCATAGGCGGCGTGACTAACTATCCGTACCTGTCTGCAACTATCGGCCATGTAAAACAGTCGGTATAGTGTACAATTGGATATCAGAATATTCAATACTTAAACAAATTTGAAGCAAAACAAAAAAATTCATTAAAAAGAAGCCGGTCATCAAAGACCGGCAAAATATTCAGAGCCCCGGCCCCCTGGCCGGGTAAATACAAAACAAACGGCACGCAGGCCGTGGAAAGAAGACATAAAGCTTAAGAAGGGGGCAGATCTTCAATATTAGCAGCTGCCGCCTGGTCAGCACTCTTCTTGCTGGACTCGGCTTCAGCTGCATCCTTTTTTGATGCATTACCCCCAAGCGGCACAAGCGCCACTACCGGCTGCTCCTCCTCCTCCAACGCCTCCTCCAACGCCTCTTCCTTAGCAGCCGCCAGGATCTCTTGATTATATCTATCAGAACACTGGCGGTACGTTTTTTCCCATGAGGCAAAGTCGGCATTGGGGAAGAGGCGGCCCCAAGTCATGCGCTGGATTTGAGCAGAGTCTTCCATCATCTCCCGGACCAGCTCTTTCTTTTCTTGCTCGGCCTTTTCCGAGAGCTCCTGAGTAAGACTCTTCTCCTGGGTCACCAGGCGTACCTTTACACTCACCAAGGATTTCTCCAAGGTTTCGTATGAGGACATCTTTTGGCGAAGAGGTCTCAGCTCGGCCTTGAGGCTGTTGATGGTCGCCTCCAGCTCGCTATTCCTCTTCTGGGCCGCCTCTAACTGAGCCCGGATAGCGGCGGTAGCCTGCGCCTGATAATAAAGAATATCAATGGTCAGAACTTCATTTTGGGCAATTTGAAACATTGCCTTATCACAGTCAGAGGCGGCCATAGCTTTTGCAGCCTTTACCTCTTTGTTCTTCCGGTCAAGCGGCTTGCGAAGGCCGTTCACTCGGAGCAGGGCCTAAGTAAAAAGGGGAACAGGCGTCAGTTTCCAAACAAAAAAGAAAACAGGCGTCCTGGAATTCAAATACTCAAAAATATGCTAAGTATACCTCAGCAAGGACCCCTGCAATCCCGTCTAGGTCAAGGGGGTGTCTGACCGCCTCTCTTTCAGCTGGAGGAACGGCCTTGATCATAGACTTGGCCACCTCGACCAAGTCAGGCTCCTGAGGGCCGGCTGCATCAAGCATAAACAAACGGATTAGACCTAGTAAAAAAGGGAGCAAGTCTAAAATTTACAAAGACAACTTCATACTTCTAGGCGGCCCAGCTGGAGTTTTAGAAGAAGTGGCCGGCTGTTTCTCAGCCGCCGCATGTTTCCTGGCAGAACCAGGAGAGCTCGCAACAGTCGTCCTCCGGGCCTTGGGGTCCGGCTGTTGGGAAGAAGAAGCTCTTGGAGCGCCCGTCTAAAAAAGAAGAAGTCAGTATATGCATAAACACAACTCCAAAAGGAGGGTGAAAGGTTCGAAGCCCACCAAGGGTGCCCCCTTGTTGGGGGAGTCGGTTGAAGACTGTTGCATGATGGAGGCCCGCAACATGGCCGCCGCAGTCTTGGAGGCGGTAATTTTGCTCATAGCGTCCGCTGCAAAAACAAATAGCAAAGTTAATAAGTCATAACAAGAAATGCATGGAACAACAGAGTATTCGACAGGCCGGCTACCTCTTGAGCACCGACTGCTGAGGCCACAGGCGGCCAAAAAGTACTCGTCGTAGAGCCATTTGAAGCTCGGGACGCAGTGCAGGGGTACTTGCTCTCGTACCCCTGAAGTAGAGTTCACCTTCGCCTCTACTTTGAAGAGTCCTTTATCTAGGATCTCTTTCTTAGCCTTGGGGGGAACAGGCGGCATGCTGCGGCCGCCTGCAAGAAGGGGCAGATTACTGTTCCACCTGTTGAAGCGCTTGTTCAGCTCTGTGTCTGAACTCTCGATGATGAGGAAGGTGCTCCGCCAGTCCTTCCATTTATTTGCTTTACCTCTCGTCATGAGGTAGCCCCTGTGGCTCGTCAATTGATACCAGCCGGTTAGGGGTCCGGCTGAGGTAGTTCATGTGGGCGAAAGCCTCGAAGCTCGGCTCCACCCCGTGCAGTTCGCACCCGGCCACATAGCCGAGTACGTTGACCCAGGAGTTCGGGGCCAACTGCCATAACCCCAACTCATACCCATCCAAGATCCGTTGGACAACCGGATGTAGTGGGAAGCGCAGCCCAGCCTTGATGGCCGCCTCGTAGCAGCCAAAGCAGGCGCTATCATAACTGGTACCAGCCGGCCAGACGACTGTGTCTTCTGGATCCGGCACGAACACTAAAAAGCTGGGGCCCATTGTGTGGTTTGCGATAAAGCTCTCCACTTTCTCTTGCATGGCTGTGATCCGGCCCCGAGGTACCGTGCAGTAGTAGGGGGTATTTTGCTCTCGGTGAGAGGCGGATGGCTCCGCCCAATCGTCCCCCTTCTCAACTGCGTGAGAAAGCCTCGCCTCTTGCAGGCGACTGTTTTTCTCTTCTGTGTCCAGAGAAGCATGGCCAGAAGAGCTAGACTCGGAATCGTCCTCTGACGAGTCCGAAGAAGACGACTCCTCCCCTCTCCCGGAGGGGCCCGCCTCCTCTCCTTTAAAAGGAGCCGGAGAGAATGAAGAATTGTCAACTGTAAAATGGGAAGGGGTCACTTTGACTCCTCCCTCAGAACTGCCGGCTTTCAAGCCGCTTTGTTTCACTTCCACATCTGGCGCCTGGTCAGATGTTTCACTAATCGGCACCCTGTGGGAGGAGCCGTCTGAATTTGAGATCCTGGCAGTCTTTTTTGTTCTGGCCATCATGTTCTGCATAGACACAGATACAGTCGGACTTTGTATAAAGGGAAAAGATGGGTCCAGAAAAGGGCAGGCGGCACTCCTAGTCCTAGATTCAGCCGTCCCCGGTGACCGGCTGGTCACTAACCTAGGTCGTGTCGTGTGCTTCCGTGGTGCCATTTCAAAAAAGAATAAAGTAAAGAGAAAATTAAGAGTAAGAGAACCGACGGTTACCTGAACGAGTGACGATTGATGAAGTTCTGAAAATCCTGTGCAGTCGGCTTGTCAGAGCAGGCGGTAGGCAGAAAGGGTCCAAAATGTCAGAGCAAGTTCAGGGGTCCGAATGTTCTCTCACAAAGTTCTCAAGTGTGAAAATGACTGAAGTCAACACTCCTTTATATAGGCAAAGTGAGAAGGCGAAGGGTCACTTCCAGAATTCATAATTTGGGCGGGAGAATCTCTCGGCCTTTCGCCGAGTGACACCTGTAGCAGGTGTCGCCTGTGCGACACCTGTCACAGGTCACACGTGACCAGTCACGTGCCACCTGTGAGGGGCAAATGATTAGGGGATTTTGCTCCCACCAATCGGAATGCGCCACGTGGGCCAATCAGGTCCTGCCAAGTGTCCCCCAGTTGGAACTGTCAGGGCTTGCCATGTGGCACACGCTTATTCGTCCACCTTGGACCTATTATGTCATGACACGTGGCATACTCCATGCCTAATGGAGAAACCGGCCACCCAGGCCCAACTTCCGAGGGAAGCCCAATCAGCCCTAGGTTAACCTAAACCTAGGATTGGCACGTTTCCCAAGGTTATAAATACCTCCCTTAATCCTCATTAAGGGAGATTACATGATTTACATGCTGATCACGCTAAAAAAGCAGATTACATACATTAAACACTCTCACCTAGAGAGACCCAATCACTTTAATTTCCGCATTAATTACTCCTTAATCAAGTACTAACTTGACCGTTGGAGGCGGAGCTCCCACCACCAGGAGTCTCCGTTGTTTTGCAGGTACAGGCGTCCGGTTCCAGTCTCGAAATTGTAACTCTTCCGCAGGACATCAGAAAACCCCGAAACACTACCCACAACACTGCAAAAACACCAGAACACTCAGTGAAATTTACAATGGATACAACCACAGAATGACAGTTAAACAAGCAAAAACCTCTTTGTTGCAGACTGACGAACCGCACCAAAAGCACGACGCCTTTTAGTAGTCTGACTCTGCACAGCTAATACACAAACACTAGTTAACACCCCAAAACAGCAAAGGCATACTTAATTAACAAAAACTATATCACAAACTCCACTAAACCACCAAATAACTAAAATTTTCCGTCACAAACAGCAAAGCCATACTTAATTAACGAATACTATATCACAAACTCCACTAAACTACTAAATTACTAAAAACTTTCGCCGCATAACCAAAAGAAAAAAAACAAGCGCATCTGCCAAACCAAACATTTACCTTCACATGCAGGCTTCTTCCGCCGACAGTTCCCCAAATCACTGGCAAAAGGGCCTCTTATTTAGAAACATTCAAAGAATATTGGCTATAACATAGTAATGAGATAACTTCGTACCTAACAACTGTAAGCTCGGGCATCCCATTCATAAGTTGCTTTTTTTTCGTCACTCTAGTTTGAGGACATCGTTGTACTGGGCTCTGTTTATCTGATAAAACACAAAACGTACTCACTGTTCGAGCTTAAAAAAAAACAAACAACCAACACAACAATAACCAACACCCCCCAAAGAAAAAAAAAAAGAGGTTAGACAACTTACCCATCATAAGATTAAATTCGCCATACTTTAAACAACAAAGCAGCCTGAACAAGCAAAATCCAAATGATCCCAACACCTAGCTCACATACGTGTCCATACATCATCCATCTCCAAAAATGGATATTACCATATATTCCAGTTGATATAATCACCTGGCACACAATCTGTAAAAGGCAAACCCAAAAACAAAGCACAAACAAAAGGCCACATAAACAATCTCTTTCAAAACCAAATTCCAAACTAAGTGATTGCTAACCCATAAACAAGCACCTGTTCCGCAGACAATGACAACAGCCAAATATTTCCACAATAAATACAATGTAGCAAAGAAAATAATATCAACAAATAATATTTATATACATAGATATAGAATAGGTGATAGTTACACTAACTTCATCAGGTACAATGAACAAAACAATTGCCACTGCAATTATACTCTCTAATATTCCTAGAGTGACAAAGCAAAATCTGATAAAGAAAGTATTGCTACATCAAAGCAAGTCAAGTCAAGAATACAAACATAAATTCCTGAAACGACAAAAGTTAGTCCAAAATCCTCCTAATAAAAGTTCACAGCAAAAAACATCCGAGCACAGCAGCTAAGAAATCCTTGCACGCTTGAAAAAACCCTCCAAATCATCAGCTGAAACTCTGGTGCATGAAGAAATAACAGGTGCTGAAAATTGTCCATTGCCATTCCCCCTCTGCTTCACTGGAGGTGGAGGAGGAACATCTAAAACTGGAATTTGTGATCAATCAGCTATCGGAGTAAAACACTCACAGCTGCTTTCTGCAGACACATCTGATCTAATATTTTCCTCAACCATCAATGATGCTCTTGCATACAAACATCTCTCACTCCACATAACATCACCAACATGAGCAGCCATTTCATTACCATAATTCGCATCAATAATCACTAAGTTGAACCGGTGAGCTAGAAAACAAATAGCCTTCTTAGCAGCCTGCAGCTCAGCAACACCAACCTCATAACAAGTGTCACTAAAAATACACTCAATATCTCCTCCATTGCAACAGAAACTTATCATGATCCAACACATAAAACCCTTGCACTCAACTGAAACAGTTTCAAAAGACACAATCAAAGCAGCAGTCTTCTTAACAACATCAGTTAAGAAACTAACATAGTCCATTGACACATGAACAACTCCATTTAAAGCTTCCCCATAAATAATTTCCTCCCTAAAACACTTAAATGTGGTTTTCTCGTCATGGTCAAGGACACCACACTTACGAGCAAATAAACTCCCACAAAGCTCATACATCTTTACTTTCTCAAACGTAAAATCATCAACACAAACCCCATACCGCTTCATCAAACCTTGAACAGCTTTCTGAGCCGCTTTTTCACGCGATGCCTCCATAGTAGTCTCTTCCCCCCCCCCCAAATAATAAATACATCCAGGTCCAGTTTCCAACCGGACACGCACATAGACGCTATTTCTCCCTCCAGGGCTTACACCATAGACAGGCTTTGGAAATCGCAAGCATTCAGTTACACGCTCCAACAACGGAACAAAGGGAATAAAGATAGTGGTCGCATCACAATCCATGACCTGTAACTTTAACCAGCTAAATCAAACAACAAACAAACAGTTCAACAAAACAGCAAAAACAAGGAACACAGGCCACACAACCATCAGAGCAATATCCAAACATCAGTAAATATCCAACCACATACAATATTTTTTATAAAAAAACACAATCAGAATAAAAACATTAGGCACCTTGTGCAGACAGCAACAGCAAAAACAGTCCAACAAAAGCAACCAAATAACCTGTGCAAGATCAGGATACAATTTAATTCAGTGATCAAAATATCATCAAAAGCACAATCCAATAAGCAATCCCGCACCCCAACAACCCAACAATGAATACACTATAAAACCAATTTGCAGCCACCATTAAAAACATAAAATTCCCACACAACACCATTATAATCCTCCACATTACAAAGGCATAATCTTAACATAAATAGCACCACACAGTACACTCAAATTGATGTGCCATCTTATCCTGCACAAAACTACAACAGACACACTTTAAAAAACACAGAACATAAAAGAATCGTTTAATATTAAGTTTAAGCCCGCCAAAAAATCACCCAACATAATGGAGCTTTCAAACAACTCCAAAAAATGAAATTCTAAATCAACAGTACGTCTGAATATAACATTTATCAAAAAGGTACACGTTGTATTAGGCAAAAGCGTTTTTAAATTCAGCAATATTAAGTTCAAGTCCAATGAAAACAACCATTTAACAACCATTAAGTTCTGAATACCTTAACCAAACTTCTCTAAGACAAAACAACCATAAAATGAAACTCCAAAGAAATAGCACATATATATACAACACTTGTATATAATATAACCTCCAAATCCCAGAGTTAAAGCCTTCCTCATAAAAGACAAATTCTTGAAACCATCAACTAAAGTACCACATTTCTAGCCCCCATAATAAGGAATTACAAAGTACAGTTTAACTACCCCCACTACCACCTCAAACCCACACAAAAACCCATCCAATATTAAAATAACTTTAAGCAACAATACATAAGTTTACCCCTCTTAATTGAACACTTATTGTACCTATATATAAATTTACTGTGCAACTCAAAATAACCTTCACTAACAAAGGCAAACAATATCCCTCCTAATTCAACTCTAAATGCAGCCAAAAAAAAAAGAAATACAACCTTTAGCATCACAAAACATGACAGCAAAAAAGAAATACAACCTTTAGCAGCTAAAAACACCACAGCAACTAAACCAAAACCAAGAAATTTTTTTAAAATAATGAGAAATGCAATAATCCTAATAACAAAAACCAGAGCAAAATAAACACTAATAATAATAATATCAAGAATCAACAATGTAATAACGGTAATAATCACCTACTCGAACAATAATGCCGCCGTCGCCTATGCGGTCATCGGCAGCCGTCATTACAACAGTAACCTGGAACAACACCACCCCCAAAACCATCCTAAACAATAACAAATAACCACTAATATCAAAATCACAAACGAATATCACAGTAATTTTCAATAAACTCTGCAAACCACAATAAAAAGAGGCTGGCAATTAACTACCAAAACGCAAGCTAATAACCAGTAAAACGGAGAAGACAATGGAAAAACACGTGGACCAAAATAGCTGACAAACTCAAACAAGTGGCTTTTGCGCGAGGGTACAGCGGGTATTTTACTGTTACTAAAACACTTCCATATGCGCGAGGACATATCGGGTATTTTACTCTAATGCGTTATTATCCGCGAGGGCATATCAGGAATTTTACTGTTACTAAGCTACAGTAACTGGAAATGAACAGTAGACGAACTTCTTACATTTTAGGGGTTAGGGATTTTAGTTTCGTTTTTCTTAATTTAGTTTTAATTAGTTTTATTTATTTTTATTTTATTTTGTTTAACTTGTATTATACTTTGGGATTATTTTCTCCAACATTATTTTACCTAGTTTTAGAGTAGTTTTAGAATTTTTTCTCTTCCTTAGGGTTAGATTAGGATTTTCTCTCTCTAGTTTTAGGAGTAGTTGTAGAGAGAGAAAGCTTTGATTTCCATGGAGTTTTTGAGATGTTGAAGAAACAACTTTGTGGAACTTCATCTGATCTATTCAATGAGCATTTTCTAACTTTATCTCATCTTTATTTCTTTTCTTAATTCTTAGTTTTTGCTTTTTGTTTGTTGATTTGAGTAGATTAATTAGTTTGTTTGTTTAATCTTGTTTGTATTCTTATTTTACCTTGTTTTCCAAGTCTTTCTTCATTATGATAGCTTAGGTCTTGTTCTAGGGAATTAGATGAAGGTTATATTAATGAATTGAATGATTGATTGTGATTAGTATGAAATTGTTTCTTAATTATTGTGTATGGGTGATGCTTTTATGGAATAGAATCTTTCTAGCTAATCGATTCCATGCTCTTAATTGTGCTTTCAATCAATTGTGCGAGAGTGAGTTGGTTGAGAGCCCTAAATTCTTCCATACCTTTGTTAGGCTAGTTGCACGAGAGTGAATTAGTTTAGTAGGATAATTAACATGCTTAATTGTGCGAGAGTGAGTTAAATGTGTTGATGTTCCTAATCGAGGTCATTTTCATCTATTTGTATGATGTTGTTTAATACATTGATGTGATTGGATTCCACTTCCCCTAGTTTTAGTTGTTTGTTCTTAGTCGTGTTTAGTTTAACCTCTCTCTATCTCACAACCTTTCCTAGTAGTCTAGTTAGCACAAATTAATACACTTAGTCCTTCTAGGTTCGACCCTTTACTTGCCACTAACTAGTTTAGTGTAAGTTTAATTATTATAAATTTCTAATTTGGTTAGGGTTAGTAGTCCCAACGACCTACTTTTACCCACGATCAATGATGAGGCCCATGATGGGCCTTGTCCTGTACTGCTTGATCTAGCCCCTTTGTGTGGCCTTATAGGATCCGACCAATTGGGCTATTTTACTAGTCCAAAGATCGTTAGTACCTCTAGCTATGGAAAAACAACGACCCAAATGTACGAACTTAATTATCTCCATAATTTGATCCATTTATATATCTAGTAATTGCACACGACGAAGACATAACTCCTTCAGGTGGCACCCTCGTTTTTCAACCCGAATGGCATTACCGTATAGCAATATGTACCCCATTGTGTGATGAATGTTGTTTTCTCCATATCTTCCTCGGCCATTAATACTTGATTATATCCAGCGTAGCCCTCCATGAACGATAGGAGTGCATGGTTTGATGTGTTATCAACTAGAAAGTTAATGTGAGGTAGAGGGAACCCATCTTTCGGGCTTGCCTTATTGAGGTCCCTGTAATTATTACACATTCTGACCCTTCCATCCTTCTTTGGAACTGGAACCACATTTGCTATCCACTCTGGATACTTGGATACTTTAATGAAACCTGCAGCCAATTGCTTTCTAATTTCTTCTTTGATTTTGAGGGCCACATCCGGTTTCATACGGCGCAGCTTTTGTTTGACAGACTTCATACCTGGAATGAGTGGTATGATGCTGAGCTATATCCCTATCAATTCCTGGCATATCTTGGTATGACCAAGCAAATACCTCAACAAATTCACTAAGCAAGTTAATTAGCTCTTTGCGTTCGTCTTGACTGAGTGTTAATCCAATTTTTACGTCTTTGATAGTCGTATCATTGGAAATATTAATTGTTTCTGTATCTTCAATAAATACTTTTTTATTTTCGTGTTCTTCCATTGCTTTTATTATTTCTTTGTCATTTTTATCATTATCAAAGCAATATTGATCAGGTTTAGGGGAATGACACGCATCGTAAGCAAAGGTATTCATTTTATTGAATTCATTGGTCATTACATCAAGGAGGGCAAGGTTAGCAGCGACCTCGTCGGAATTACTTGGGATAGAAAGAGAAGACTCAACAAGAGACTCGGGATTGGAATCTATAGCAGAAAGAGGGTCAGTCTCAGACTCGTCTACAGACTTAGACTCAGACTCGGACCCAGACGACTTAGATTCATCAAACATAGACTTTTTCCAGTAGATACTTCCAACTTCTCTCCACTTGGCATAGTGATCTTCACTGTCTTGCGCCATCCCTTGAAACATTATCAGCCTGGACGATTAACTTGGAGGGGTCAAAATCCTTGCTTGATATAACAACTTGAATGAGCTCGGAATCATCATTGCAGACACGCTTGGATTCATTCTTTTCTAGTCCAAAAAGAAGGTTAATGTTCAGATCATCATATCTTAGACTAGCTGGTTTCTTAGTTGTGAAGAGTTATTCGCCTTCATCGACGAAGTCACAATCAAGGAACATCTCGAACTCTGGCTCGCGCCTCCCATCGTGGACGAAAGGCTCAGGGAATTCATAACATGGAAAGTCTTCCCCTTCTTTGATATATTAGCCATTGAGGGTGAATGGATATGGATCCATGGCCATTTCCGTCTTCATTATTCGAGCATTATTGCGAACCTTCATTTTCAAGAGGGATTGTTTGACATCTTCTTTTGTTGGCTTGAATCCCAAGCCAAAGGTATCTTTCTTGAGTTCACCAGGATGGCCCCAAAGTTCTGCCATTTTCTGTTTGAGTCTGAGGGTCATTCTAGGGAAATGCCCTTGCTTCTTCATAATGGCATTAACATTGGTATTTGAATAAGGATCGAAGTCGATATGACACTTCTCCTCTTCTTTGATCATGAGAACATCATCGAGCGAAAACCCCTAGAGATCTTCATCTTCTTCGTCATGTTCGACATGGACAATGGGAGTATCGATAACTTGAATGCACATGGGGGAGGCATCAATGGTAATTGGAACCCCTCCAACTATGGCTTTCACTTTTTGGTGCAACGACGATGGGATCGCCTTTAGCTCATGAAGCCAAGGACGTTCTAACAACATATTAAAAGAAGCCTTAATGTCCACCACCTGAAACTTGTTGTGACGTTCAATGGCTCCGGTAGTTATGTTTAGCATGATAGTACCAACGGCTTGACGACGAGTATTATCATAAGCACTAATCCCTTAAGTAGAGGGAGTCAATTCTTCATTTTTTATGCCCAACTTCTTTGCAGTGCGGAGTGGGCATACATTGATTGCAAAGCCATTATCAACCAGGCTCATAGGAACATTCATCAGCCTACACACCACAGTGAGGTGTAAGGCCTTGTTATGTTGGTCCCCTTCCGGGGGTAGATCCTTGTCGGAGAAGGAAATCAGATTGCTAGTACTTGGCAATTCAGTAATGAGAAAGTTGACCAGTCCTTGAGGAGTCATATCATCATCAACTCCTATCTTCACCAAGGCACTCATCACAGCCTTTCGATGCTCGTGAGAGGTGGCCAAAAGTTTCCATACATTCATTTCCACCTTGGTCTTTTGTAATTGTTTGACCACATCGTTGTTCACAGGGTTGATGGGATCAACTATTGGTTGTGATTGCGGTGGAGGTGGAGGTGGACTAGGATATTGCAACTTTCCACTACCTCAAGGTCTCCCCAAACATCTTCACTTGTGCCAAAAGACGAACATGCTATATCTTTGAGATAGACGTCTTCATCGTCACTATCCTAAATTCCATTTACTTCTTCATAGCTTGAGACAAATACAACTTTCGGCAAAGGTTCATTCACAGGTTGAATGAGTATTGACGGATCAAAGGAGACTTCATCTCCCATGATATCCAAAGCATCATAAAGAGGACCTGTTTGAATGTTAGTCTTCTTGCCCCCTAGAGGAAGAGGAAGTTGATTAGCGTCAATCAGGTCATGGATCGCATCTTTTAACCTCCAACACTTCTCAGTATTATGACCCTTTCCTTGATGAAACTTGCAATGAGCATTAGGGTCATAGCTAGCAATTCTGTTCTCTGGTCGAGGTTCTGAAAAAGGTCCAATTGGCATGATCAGTCCTTGACTATGCAAGCGATCAAAAGCAGCATCATAAGTCATTCCCAAAGGCGTGTAAAACCTCCTTTGCCTTTGGAATCTTTGAGGAGGAGCATTAAGGGCCAGCACATCATTGATATTGACATTGTTAGTAGCATTATTTGTCTTGGAAGACGAAGAAGAAGGAGTATCGTTCTTCTTGTTTTTCCAAGTGCTATTGTTATTATTGTTGCTACAAGCAGTCTTCATCAGTTCATCTTCGATATTGATTCCAATATCGTATATAGCTTCGAAGGTACTCAAAGGCAGAAACTTCAAGTGTTGCTTGTACTGATGAGTCAAATTTGCAATAAACAGGCGAATCATCTCTTTTTCCTTGGGAGGATCCACCAAGAGCGCAACTATTTTCCTCCACCTGCTTTAGGAAGTAGTAAAGCCTTCATTCTCATTCTGTTTGAGAATGGAGAGTTCACGTTTAGAAGTCTTGGCTTGGATGTTACACTTGTAACGATTCATAAAACTTTCAGTAACGTCCTCCCAGGTCGCAACATGTTTGGATTCTAGAGAGTAGAACCACTATTGACAGGCATGCTCCAAGGAAATAGGGAACACAGTAGGGAAGAGTGTTACATCTACTACCTTAAGAGCCATGGTCGCAGAAAAGGCTTTCAAGTGGGAAAACGGATTATTAGTAGGCTTGAACTTGGGAATGTCAGCAGTGGAAAACTTCTTAGGAAGTTTGTCCCTTATGGATAAAGA